ATACGAATAGCTTCCATCTCATTTACTTCTACACTTCAAACTGAAGTAGCAGTAGGATATTTTTAGATTATTTTTACCCTAATGCGCAATCTGGTTGGAAAAATATCATAAAACAATGCGCAGGCTTAAAACAACTTTCTCGCGATATTGTGTATAGCAGTTTGTAAAATTAATTTCTCATAAATACGTTTTTCCTCTTTAAATTAAAATTAAGATTTTCATAATATAAGAAACTTAAGACGCACAAGAAACCAGTCTTCCTCCACGAGGAAAAAAAAAAAAAAAAGGAACAAAAAATAGAGGTGGAGATAAAAAAAAATTAACCTACAGTAGTCAAGGAGAATTAATTGTTGGAGTAGCAGCAACTAATTGCACTTTCATGCAAAATAAAAACCTATCCTACTTACAATTGAAGTTTAACGTTATGCAAGACAAGATAAGCTTACTTGTGGTTTTCGATTCTGGAGTTTTGATTTGCATTATTGTTCCTCCAGATTTATTTAAATAAACTGCTGAAAAACAAATATTCTTCGAAAAATAATTGAATTCGTAATGGAGGCAATTTTATTGATGCTCGTAGTCAGACTGGATAGCTTCCGCTTGATGTAAATAAACAAAAAATTGTTATGAATTTATTACATATAGAAGAAAAATCAACCAAAAGCATTCAAGTAGAAATATAAATGCAATAAGGATTCAATGAAAATTCAAATTTAATGTCACGTGATGTTAATTACGTGAAAATAAGCAGTATAAATGACTTTGCGTCTTACTTTTCTTTTGAGATATTTTTTCTCTCGTCAGAAATGTAAACTTATTCATGAAATGAATTGATGACAGTGGTAAACCTTGAACATTGCAAGAACTTTAGTGGTTAGCAAGAAGAATTCTGTACCCCTTTAAGTCTTAAATGAAGCGTACTATAGCACATCTACTGGACTGTTTTTAACCATTCAGCGAAATAAAAATACGAAGATATTTCATATTAGTTGCGCAAAATATCTTAATGCTTAGTTGTTCGAAATTATAATGAACGTAATTGTAAAACATATTATTACAACTGTATTTCTGCCTTGTGTACAGAGAATTATGATACTATCCACAAGACATTTGTACCTTTCTATACTTTAAAAAAATGTTAAGAAAGAAAGATTTATAAGTGTCTACAAAGATATGTGATTTTATTTTATTTCCCATCTGGTTATTCCGCATTGATGTTAGCGAGGTGTACATGAGACATTATCCAGTATCTCAGAAAAATATTAAGATTTCCAGCAAATTCCATATCTTAATTGCAGGTAACAATTAGAAAAGTGATTATCACGAAATATTATTAACATTAGATATGAAAAGTGGATTTAGAAAGCAACTAATTTTTCCAAACCACATTTATAATGCAAATTACTGTATGGAACAAAAAGATGCATCTAAAAAGTTTTATTTTCAGTTAATTAATTAGTTTTATTGCCAAAAACATCATATATGTTTTCGTGTATTACATTTGTCTTAAATTAAATTGAAAAATTCCTTAGGTAATGCAATAACTGATAAACAAACAAAGTATGTATAATGATATGATAATTAGGATTTTTATACTAGAAAATTAGTTGAATGAACTAACAGGCTAATTAGAGTTTTCCTCCTTGAAGTAGAGATTTTTCATTAAGCAAAAGCTATACATAGTAATATAATATGAATTTTTAAAATTTTGGACTTCAAAAATATCCTCTCTGGATATTGATCTTAAGTTATACATACCCGTATTGAGAAAACTGGAACCAGGATGAAGGTCCATCTTCGAAATAAAAATTCCCAAACATGAAAGGAATTTAAGTATGCATGAAAGGAAAGGGTTTTCTTCTTGAAGGAGGATTTTTAGGAATAGATTCATGTTCCTTATCCTTTGCTGCTGCTATCCGAGGCTTAACACGCCCTTGAAATTTGAAAATGTTCTATAAGTTACAAAATATATGCTAAGCAAGAATGGGTCTTATCAGGGTGAAATTTAACTGCTCAAAATCTACCAGCGCCGTCTTTCCATGGAAATTTCGTGAGCACATATCACATGCATTATTTGGATAGATGAGTCATTGATTATGCAGTGATATTTTGGCAAAATCATGCTTTTAACTGTTCTTTCCTTTCTTGAAACACCAAATGGCATAAGTCTAGGGATTTTCTTTGTTGTAATCCCTTAATAAGGAATCTTATATATTAGAATTCTTTTATTCATAAGTACAAGAGACAGTACACTATAAATGTCGTTTTATTATCATTTAATACTAGTAACATGTATATTTTGCCAATTAATTGTTAATATATTTATGTTCATTATATCAATACCTCTTACGTATTATCAGCGGTCAAAATGTAAAAGTGATAGACCTTACAACATATTATCCACAGATACGAGGATACTACAGTATATATGTGACAGAATTTTCTCAGGGTATCTCTTATGTATTATCCGTGGTCAAAATGTAACCGCAGTAGATCTTACAACAGTTTATCCGCAGGTACGAGGATACTACCGTACATTCGGTACAGAACATTTCTGAGGATATCTCTTACGTGTTATCTGCGGTCAAAATGTAACCACCATAAATCTTACAAGTTATCCATAGACACGAGGATACTACCATATATAGGCGACAGAACTTTCTCAGGCCATCTCTTATATATTATCCATGGTCAAAATGTAATCTTACAACATATTATCCACAGATACGAGAATACTACCGTATATACGTGACAGAACTTTCTCAGGATACCACTAATGTGTTATTCGCGGTCAAAATACAACAGCGATAGATGTTACAATATGTTATCCAGAGATACGAGGATACCACCATATATACGCGACAAATGTTTCGCAGGATACCTTTGAAGCATCCTTAAATAATGAAATAAGGACTTACTTCTCGTATTAAGAAACTAAGAAATGGTTTAAATAAACCCCTTTTAAAACTATGATTTCTTTTGTTTACTTACGTATTTATTTATTTTTAAAATTATCTTTATGTGTTTATTGCGAAACTCAGCATCCTTCTTATTAAAATATTAGCCGAAACATTTACGCAGCTCTGCTTGCTGTCAATCACCATAGATAATTTTTTGTCGACTTATTATTTGTTAGAGTCTTCATGTTGAAATGGTAAAGGATGATTTGCTTAAAAGAGAACATGATTTTAAGAATTTAAATCATGTAATATCTTTATATAGCGTTTTTCTTCATTGTAAAAATTACTGGCATTGTGTGAAATTCAGGTACTGTATAAATACTTAAACACTGTGCGGAATGCCTATCCATTTATAAAGAAGTACGTGCATTTTACTTTAATATTACTTATTTTACTTAGGAATTTTGTACTTTATCTAGATTTTCTATACAGTGCAAACCTAAATACAGATAAAGAAGTATGACAAGAATTGGAAATTTTATTAAGGAACTGAAATATGTAACACTTAAAAGCAATAGTAAACAGTAGAATCAAGGAAATCTTGCTTCTGAAAATGACAATAGAACACGACAACATTTTGATCGTCTATAATCGCAGTCTGAACTCAGATCGTATTTTGATCGCAATGCAAATCTTAGTTAACATAAAAATAATTCTTAATTTGGCAGTTAGTCTCATTTATGCGATCTTGCCCTGTTTCCATAGTCTGTTTTATTGCAGCTGACTTGAGTGATTCGGTTATCAGTTAGGACGCCTTCCAACAACATTGAAGGCTTCTTGCACACAGAAAACCAGCATCTTGAGTAAATTCATTTTGTTATTCCTTCTGGCTCATCCAACAGACACCCACTGTGCTTGGATATCCATGATTATGGCCAAAATATCGCGAGCGTCCTCACATTCTTTGTCATACTTAAGGATAGAAAGCCAAATTGTAGCTCTGAGCGCAGTTGATGTGAAATAATTGCAAGATATTTTCTTGATTTGAATTGCTGAATGGCATTCTGATTGCATTTTGCTAGTTTCAAATTTTTTCTAATTATGTAGAATACGTAATTGTAATTCCATAAAATTTCGGATTTTCCAGTTTGGATATAACTCAGATGCATAAGATGCTTAAATTTTACTTTAAATGCAGGAAAGATGATTTTCATTTAAGTTTTTATTTTCTTTGAGCATAATTAAAAAACAATTATGCTTGTGGGGGTATTATAAAGATTAAAAGAGAGCCTGGCATTAAGAAAAAGTATAACTCTTTTTTACTAATGACTTTAATCAAGATTATGGCATGATCTTCAATGCTGAGGAAGCATTTCTCGTATTATATTTTTGAAAGCGCATTAAACACCTTCGTGGATCTAATTGAGGTTCTGATGTAACTAACTGTCAACTGCTGTTTATACTTTCATATCAGAACTGTAATTCCCTTCACATGAATTTAAATCCTGTAGACTACTAGAAAGGGAAATAAAATAAGTTAAGCAGAACAAATCATGTATATTGGTATTTCATTATAAGAAGTTGCAAGGAGACTTTATAATATCACAACCTGAGAGATAATAGTTATGAAAAGATGATAGCAAGAACTTCATATTCAAGATACACGTTCAAGGAATACTATTGCTGATATTTAAATGTCACATGCATTATTGTTTAAATTTAAGTACCTCGATTGAGAAACTATTATAAGTTAGTCCACATCTGCATGAATTTAAAGAGCATTGGTTACTTTTGGCTACTCTTGAAAATCGCAGGTATAATTCGAAAATTTGAAATGTGTTTATACTGAAGAGGCTCGAATCGCTGCAAACATTAATAAATTTAAAAAAAAAAAAAAAAAAAGACCTAGCGTTTTTTTATTCAGACATCAAACGTGAATTTAAATAATACAAGTCTAGAAAGTAATTTTGGTGTATTTTCATATAAATATGTTCATGAGAGTTTTTGTTTTGTTGCTTTTAACTTGTACCAAATTGTTATTATTATTATTATTATCATTAGTTTGGGATGTTAGCTAAATGAAAGTTCTTTTCCTTGCAGATAAATCTCAATTGGAAGAGACGTTGCGCGTGAACGGTAAAGGGAAGAAGATGAGGAAGCCTCGTACAATTTACTCTAGCCTCCAACTGCAACAGTTGAACAGGAGGTTCCAAAGAACCCAATACCTCGCCTTGCCCGAGCGAGCTGAGCTTGCGGCCTCTTTAGGCCTCACACAAACACAGGTAAGACGGACCCACCCTTTAAGAGTCGCGGAATCAAATATTGCGGTCAAAAGGTTAATTCTTTTTCTCACTGACCGATCAGTCTGTTCAGCAATTTTTCTTTTTTTATGTATAAGGACATCGAGTCGGTCGATGAAAGAAATCATTTTCCTTTCACACACTATTTTTTAATGTAATATACCTATAGGCAGAATTTAAATTCACTATCAGATTTCAAAATTTTCTTCCCGCAATTCTAAAATTAATAAAGCAAAATACAATAAAATAAAAATAAATGTTGTCTCTTCCCTTATACCATAGCAGAAGCTCAGGATTAATGTGCTATGCTTGTGACTTCTTAGGACTTATTTATTAAATAATCTCGAAGCAATTAGTATTTAATTATATCACAGTAATCCCATTTTGTTTCTAAAACACAAAACTATTTCTGTTTCTAAATTTAATTCGAGTCTTATTAACATGAGTTACATTCAACAATTACAGGATTTTTCCCTAGTGAATTACAATACGCTGCAGATAGACAGCATAATGAAGGAATATAAACTTTGAATCGCGTTTTACAGTTGGGGTGTTGCATATTTGGTTATATAGCATTACCTTCATTGAGCTGAATGAATGCAAAGTGTTGTTAATTCTTAGGGAAAATTCTGTAAAGATGGCCGCAATTTTATTACTTTAAGAGAAACCCCAGGGAATATCTTGAACCGGAAAACAATGGTAAGTGTTTTCCATTTTAAGTTTGATGGTCTCAGAGGTCATTTTCCGCGACTATTGGTCTTTAAAATTTCTGAAAGGTACGTAAATATCTACTTATTTAGCCGATGAGAGAGAAAACAGGATGATAATCATACGCTATGTTAATGATCTAATATGGTAAGACAAATATCTGTTAATATTCTCAGAAATTGCTGATTTGTTTGAATATTATGATGCTTTTTGTGTAGACTGACAGTATGCTGATTAGTTTGATTTGTGCTTTATATGTTTCTTTCCTAAAATCAATTAAATTATATCATTATAAATTTGTTTACATGTATTTTCAATGGTATGAAAATTTTATTTAATATTTTATAGAAGTTAAGATAAAAATTTTATAAAATTACTTTATTTGTGAAGTATATATGATATATGTATCATGTCTTAGGATTTTTTGTGCAGATTTTTTTAATTATCTTGCTTCGAAATATTTTACATTAGAGTAATCAATATCGTTTTCAAAAATAACATTACCTAATGCATTATTTCCCTTTTTTTGAGTATGCAATACATAACTTCAAAACACGTTTTTTAAAGTAACACTGAAGTAAAGGCTATTTCAAATACCTTCTGCTACTGAATTTCAGTTACAATGTCAGCTGCTTATCCCGTAGTCGTACTAAATTCCAAAGACTTGCAATTAACAAGATAAATTAAGTAAAAATATCTCAGTATTTGGTATGTAAAAGTAAAACTAAAAGGAATAAATAGTAATTGACTTTGGAAATCATTGTAATTAAACAAAACCAGTAGTCTAAAGAAGTTGAAAGTACAAGCTTCTTATAATAGTAAGAAACGGAAACGTTAGCTCTCCAGAAAAGTAACAGTTTCTGCGAACAGAGACTAACTTCATTCATTAAACTATTCTCACGAATGAGATTTATCATAATATATAGAAGAATTATAAGGCTGGAACATTCTTACTTTTCAGAAACATAAATTCGAGATACCGAGGAAGACTCTTAAAACAAATTTAAAAAATTTGAATAGCTTTCTGGAGAATATTGGGGATGAAGCAACACGTGAAATGTCAACCCCCTTTCCGATGCGGTCCAATGCTTCGCAGCCTCCACAGGCCGTTACGCAAGTTGAGTCTTACTCAACCTGTTCTCAGAAAAAGAGAAACAACTTATTCCTTTTCGTACCTTTACTCGACTGTTGTCTAGCACGCTCAACTACCAAGGCCGCTCATAGTATTCGCTTCTGCACTCGGGGCCATTTTCATTTGCTTTATCTAAAAAGATTTAGAATTTAGAAAAAGTGAGTAAAATCCAAGAGAAATATAGTATTTGAAACTCTGAGACACATTATAGACTTTCAAACATATTACTCACGATATACGCAATCAAAATGTAGGTCAGCCAGATTTTAAAGCGAAATTAATGAGAAAATATGCCACTGAAAAACTACTAAATTTTGCACGGTAAAAACGAAACAAGATCCTAAATCTTTATGATGCATACTTTTATCAACTTCTTTCCCCTATCCTTTTAAATAATTCATTTTACAATCGTTAAGGGCTCAGCAAAAAGTAAATGAGCATGAAGTTTTTGTTTCTATTCTTTTTATAGCTTATAGCATTCGTTATCCAAACCACTTCATCACTAAATTCAGACACCCAACTGCGGCTAAAAATCGCTACACTTTATCTTTTTTCTAAATAGCATTGAAGACAACATATCCCTGTTAAATTTCTGAAAGAAGTTCTCTAGAGGATATCTTTGTCAAGGGAGCGCGTGCCACAACCACTAGTCTCTCCAGGGTTCTGTAAACTGTTCCGAGAGGGGTCTACCATAAAACCCCGGGGTTCTGCTGAGGGATCCTATCCAAATTGCATTCAGACAGAATTTCATTCACTTTTTTGAGTCAAAACTTTGACAGTATAAGTCGACATTAAATTAAATTAAAAACGTCGTTAGCTAAAATACAACCAAGTACTCCTTTAAATTTTTTAATTCAATGAAATTTTCAAAAAAAAATTACCTTCTGAAGGTATTTAAAGCAATCCTCACTAAGATAATCGCACTTGAATGAATGAAATTTGTTACGATTATAAGCAAATTCACAGGCGCCTGATGGACTTTCTTTTCTTTCTGTAAAGGATTACATTTACTAGCGGAATGTTAATTATTCTAATCTATGCATCCAAATATCTGTGTAAAATTTTGGATAATTAAAATGTGGTAGATAATACTATTCTAAAAACTCCGAGCGAATTGGGCGTATTTCCCCAAAAGCATTTTAATTATAATACCAGTACTTTCACCGTTATTTAGACTTTACTTGTAAAATGTTAAAATTCCTTTCATCTCTTAATTGACTATCAGATGATTACACAGAATTCTCAGACACTTATACAGTAATAATAATCCCTATCCAAATGAATAAAAGAAGACGTAATCTAATGAAAACCTGAAATGGGATGATTGACATTTAACTACAGAACATTATTACAATATGAAAGAAATATGCCTGACTTTGGACGAAATGCGTTTTTTAACCAATTAGTTTCTTGCTGCAGGTATTTCTACACACATATAAATGTATATATAAGCATATACTCATGTGACATTCACATATTTTATGTGGGAGTATATAAATATATCAGAATATTAGTAAGAGTGAGATTCATACAAATTTAACAGTAAATTTCAAACATAAGATTCCTAACTACATTCCAGGTACAAGTTCAGTTTTATTTAAATCGTTTAACTGGAAGTAACAGTTTTTACAAATTTATTATTACGAAAGCAGTAACTTTTATTCCAAACTGCCTCGTGGGTTTTATTAGACTGTTTCTTTCTTTATAATTGCATACTACATTCAATACCAATTTTACAATTTAAAGTAAATAATTTTCAATCATAAACCCAAATTCGTAATTGAGTTTAGTTTGAAAATATCTAAATTCTTTTAATCCATTTATTAGAGTTTCAAATAATAATCTTCAGTGTTGCCTTATTTCGATTTTATCGGGAAAAAACATCTTTTTTCTTATATACTGTCTGAGAAAATTTAAATACGGAAAAGAAAGCCTTGGTGTTTCTTTCTTTGTGTCAGGGAGTCCAAAGTCATAAAAATATATGTCATATTATGAAGCATAAGAGCAACTGAATACACTGATTGCATAATCTGTGCGTTAAGCAGTTTTACAATGTCGTAATAGAATACGCCTTTTATATGTGAATATAGCTTAAAAACAAAATGGAGCTAAATTACTTAACACGTTCAGATCGTTGCTCTGCATATATAGCTGGAATATATATGAATGGTTTTTCCTATGTTTCTTATTAGGAACCATCAACAAACATACGCAAGGCTTTGATTAGCAGGCTCTAGGAATAATATATGCACTTTATGAATAACCCCTGAAAATGTTTCAAACTTGGCTCCAAACCGAGTGAACGAGCAACACTGGGAGGTTTGATGGAGAGGGGGTGAAAAATGAGGGGAATTACAACTTTTTGGCCGGCCGCTTTCGGCTACGGGACAGGGACGGACCGAAACTAAAAGATAGAAGGAAAAAATAAATAAAAAAAAGGAGGGGCCACACTCCGTGGAAGGAAAAAGGGGGAAGGCACAAAACCTGTGGAAGAGCAGGTGATAGATTGTCCGTCTGTCTTTGGAGTACCTTTGTTCTCTCCGCAAGGGGTGTTCTTTGCTTGTCTCGCATGGAAATGGGGAACAGGTAAAAACTAAATAATCTAAATCTCTATAACAAAGTATAAACTTCAGAAAATCTCTAAATCAAACTTTATACAAAAGGTAGTCCCTGCAGCGTTCTTTATGCAAAAGTAGCAGAAAGAGAAACATGCAAAATCGAAATAGATCTGAGCTACTTGGATTGAGGACGCGAAACATCCGTGTTCAACAGCTGCAGAAGCAAGAAAAGTTCTTTTATACTCCCTACACGTGCGAATATTTATAACCCACAGATCTTGATCGTAAATCGGAAGAGGTTTCATTCGAATTCTGGGTTGCGTTTCAAGCGGTCAGTTTTGCTGATTGAAGCAAAAACTTAGCCCAAAGATCAGTTAACGACGCTGTATGTCTTTGCGAATCAAAAGAACAGTGTTTATACATCTTAGCGCACCGTAAGAATAACAAAAATACGAAAAGTAATACGGAAGAAAATTTGATTATGTCCCGTAAGGTGAATGAGAAAGGCAAAAAAAAAAAAAAAAAAAAAAAAAAAAAGATTCGTTGCTTGTAAAAGGTAAAAGGATGTTAAAAATTCGTTTGTA